GATACGGTATGTATAATAAAGTTTGTTGACAAAATAGGGCAATTAATGTTAGAAATTAAGTAGAGTTCGACATACTATACAGTTTGATGCAATTTTGATGGCAGAAACAGATAAGAACAAACTCTGCGTTCGAAAATTTACTACCAGATTGCTGTCAGATAAAATATCAGAAAACTCCGCCACTAAAACACAAGTTAATGAGAACATAGTTAGCAATTTCTGATTGAATTTTTGCCAACTTGACATACTGCGAACAATTTCCTCATTGGATGTAAACTGGCGTCTTTAAATGTTATTTTTGATAATAATCTTTTATAATATTAAGTTAAAGGATATATGAAGAGACACTATTATATAAACAATTTTATTTTAAAACATTATAATTAATAAATGACAAGAGAACTGTTATTTTCAAGTTATAATATCTAAATAAATACATGAATGTGTTTAAATACTTTTATTATACACAAATATTATGGAGCATATGTAATACTGTTACTAAAATTATTTAAGAGGGAGTATAATATGATTTATAGAAGTACAATCATTGAGTGCCTCGTCTAGTTCATCATTTCGAGAGCTAAAATATTGACACATATCTCTACTTGACAACAAATTTACAACGCCTACAGGTACCCCAGCTGTTGAAAACATGTTAAAATATGGTGCTAAAGTACACGAATTTTCATTATGTAGCACAATGACACAATTGCCAATCATAAAAGATAATGCCAGATAAAGGAACAATGTTTCTTCATTTGCATGATAAATAGAAACAACGTTTTTTGATCCATGAAACTTGATTAGCTCTAATCTTTCATCCTGCCATTTTAATTTAGAGCGAATGAGGTTTCCTAATTTTATAGTGTTTAATACTGTTTCTGCTAAATCAAATTTGCTGAAAAAGAAAGCAAAAAGAGAAATACATTTGTTAAGAGTGTTACTAAGTGTTAACATGCAATCACACAAATGTACAAACAATAAACTTTAAAAATACATGAAAATTTTCTAGTAAATTAATACCCATTGCATTCTAATGTAGATGCAAGATTCTTTAATATTTCTTTTCTAGAAACTATAGGCAAGAGACTCCAATCTATGGATGCTTCCACGCTTGATTTTATGCATAATATCACATCTTCCCTACAATGTTTTTAAATATTAATTTAATAGGTGTTTTGCTAAATTTCTTAAAAATTATTGCAGAGTTAAGAAGAGGGGCAAGAAAGATGTATTCATACCGTGTTGCATGTGCATATGTATTTCTATCATGTATCCAATATCCATTCTTCACAGGTTTTTGCCATCTGCCGTTATAAAAAAGATCGTTAACTGAACCTACATATTTTTTTGGATTTATATCTCCATCTTTTAAATCGGCCTGGAGAAGCTCTCGAAACCAATTGAAAGGAGAAACGATCTTTTTCCAAGAAAACGTGATATCGGAGCAAAATTCGAAGTGCGTATTTATGAATGTAATATCTCTCTGCTCTCAGAACAGAAATTGTTTCAATAAAGATTTAAGCAATTTGGCCATTGTATTACAGCATTTAAATTATATCACATAATACGTACGCGTAATAGCGTTGCTAATTCTTTTGCAGCTGTAATATCTTCTGACCATATAGACACCATATTGACTGACTCCAGATTTAAAATTAATGTGCGAATGTAAAGTAATTCTTGCTTTCTATGAAACGTGAAAATGGGCAAATTCCAGGATGTATAAAGATCTTGAAAATACTTTTCTAGGATCCATAAAAATTTCTGTTTTATTGATTCTTGGACATAAATGTAATGTATCTTGAACAAGAAAAAAGATGTAGCCCTGAAATAGCTAATAACTGCATACAGGTCAGAATCTTCTAACACAATCATCCCATAGATATAGCCTGTATAAATTTAAAAATTTTGTTATGAAATTAAAAATATGTTTTTATATTATGTTTTAAATGTGCTTACTTGAAATTAATGACGTATAACAGCCATCTGCGTATTCCAACCTTGAATTATTCCTAAAAGATATAAGAATGTTTACAAAATGGATAAGAATGGATATCTTTTATAGCGTAATAAGAAAAATTAATTCATATACTTAGTAAATAATTTAATAATATAACATAGTTTGATATAATGTATACGTGTATTTTTATTGGATAATTACATAAGGGCCGCTTTCAAAAATGATGGAATCTCATCTTCACATACAATATACATAATATATATTATAACAACTTCGTTATCGGTGCATTCTAGAAAACGATAGTGAAGAGAAGAATTGCTATTAAACCATTTAATACAAATATTATTCTACGTATATTCTTCTTATTATTTTTTTATATAAATAATGTAGGAAATGCATATAAAGAAGTGCATAAAGAATACTGTCGATATATTGGTACAGTTGTATTAGAGATAACAGAGAATATTTATTATACGTATCGAACTCACCGTTAAGCGTCAATTTCACACCAATAGTGTGCAAATATTCGAGAATAGTAGTAACTATATCCACATGACCACAAGCAGATTTGAAAACAGATGAATTCTTTTCTACTATAGACGCTGCCTGCAAGAATCTATAAATGTAAAAAGAAAGTAAGGCAACATAAATAGAGACAACTGTTGAATTTTTTGTCATCATTCTCATCTTAGGATTAGATAGCCATTTACCTATCTACAAAATTATTAGTATCCTTGAATTTCAGCTCGCAGTGTAACGTAGATATCTTTTTTAGTGCTTCCTAACAACATACGTAAAAAATAATACAATACATTTTACCAGCAATATAGATTATTTCCCTGTTCCCTGATTGTTTCCCTCAAATGTTACATTTCACAATTCCCCAACATCTTTATATATGTTAATATTATTCGTACTCACCTGTCTGTTTATCTCATATTCTAAAGCTTCATAACATCGCATTATAGTTTCAATTCGTTCACCCATTCTGATTCCGATTATTAATCAATTTCCAGCAATATTACGGAAGAAACACGCGTATGCGATCGCAATCTTCCGCTCACATCGGCAATAAGAACAGATGAATACGAGCTCTTATTTGTGAAGAGGAGACACTTTGATTTGGGTCAACAAACTGATAATCAAGAGCAAGACGTTCCATGAATAATATTTCGTACTATGCTGCTAATAACATTATGAAGATCAAGAGGGTAAGTGTCACGCGATCTAAACAGTATGTAACGGGTGTTTACGTATTAAAAGTTTTTTTGTTCCAATTTGAAACGCGCTACATAAGATATCCCGGAAAAAGTATCTCGGATCAAAAATCAATCGAATGACAAAACAAATCTAATTTGTTCTTTACAATTCTTTAATCTAAACTACTTGTACTTTTATCTCTCCACTTTTTCTTTTTGATTATACATCTATTTTATTTTAAATGTAGAAATTACAAAAGCGCAGCCACAAAAATAACCAGATTTTATATGACAAACTTGCTAATCTCAAAAAATTTCTCGATTGTCCTTTGACAACTTTTTTCGACAGTAAAATATTGCTTTTTTACAATATCCATTATCTATTTTAATTGTTATTTCGTAATTTATTAAGAGAAATACGCAATAATAAGTCTTATGCAAATTGATGTGAGAAAAATTTAACACATCAATATCTTACCATTAGGCAAAATTTCTTTTTTTTTTTATAAAATAAATAATATATTTTAATGTCTTAATTCTGTATTTTCTAGTCTTTTATTTTCGGTAATAAACCGAGATTAAAATTAATCTGCAGAAAAATGAACAAGAATCGCTTACTGCTAAATTTCTAATTACAGAATTCATTAAATCTAATAATTTTTCTTTCTATAAATTAAACAAAACAAAATTAATAATTCTATCTAAGTTAACAAAATGAGAGATCTAGATATTATTTCAAGTTAATCGCCGATTAAGTTAATCGGATGAGCTTGGTCGAAATCGCTTGAATATTCATTTGCTTTTTCTTTTAATAACAGTAACAATATTAGCAATAATTTTATAATAATAATGCAGTACCATATATATATTTTTTAATTACCTTTTTTATATTACGATAAAGCAATGAAAGATAATAATTGCGATAATAGAACAACCCTGCGAATATTGATCATATCGTACACTGCGATCGTCATTTGAATCTTTGGCGTGTCATAAATCATAATCCAAATTCCAGTTTCCTCATAAGCTACAACAACTTTTCGATTTGAACGATGATCGACAAATTTCTGAGTTAAATGAAAACATTATGGATATAACACTTTATAAAATTCTGCTCACATAACTGTACAATTACAGTTTGTATTCTCTGCGCTCCGCATTCATATATTAAGAGGAAAGTATTTTTACACAAAAGATTCAATAAGGTTATTTTAATAATAATCTGTTTACATTCCCACATGTTTTGCATTTTATTATATCCTGCATGTCTGATTTATTGTATAAGAGCAACAAATTTTTTGACATATTTTTTTAAATCTTGTTCTAAAATAATAAAATTAGTTTTAAGAAAAACAACAATTTTACTCGTTATTTGTTTATGTTCGTCTTAATTATACATTATAACTATTGTAAGAAATTTAATTAACAATTTTGATTCTCTGCTGGAGATGGATGAGAGGACAGAAATTTGATTTACTTTATAAGAGCGATGCTTCTTGCAATATGATTTTCTTTAATTCATCCTAAAACAATTCAACTTGTTATTAAATCAATAATTTCTTTACCTGTTTTATTTCGTTCTTTATCTTCACTTTAATCATGCATTATAACTTTGTAATATTTTAAGAAAGATAGCTTTTTAATATAATCAACTAACATAATTGATCCTCTGCTACTAGATGGATAAAGACAAGAATAATGAACAACTTTCCCGTATCACTATTGATTCATCCATCCAAGATGATGTCAGTCAGATTGAATTTGATGTAACACGTACATCCTCGGTTGCATCCATCGTCACCCATGAGGGATATCCCTCATTGGCATCACTACGAGCCATCTCCGATATCGAGCATCGTTATCAATTGATCGGCAATATCAATGTTATCAATCAATTGTAGGCAGTATTTATTTAAAAAATATTTATTAATCTCTCTTTCATTGAAATTTTTCTAAAATGGAAGGAGATCATTTGGGGTTTAATTTTATATATGAATAACTTGTAAAGAGATTCTTTTAGATTTATTGATTAAGAACATTTTAACTGACGATCTTCTTATAAAGAATGTGTAACGAATATTTATCTAATTTCAAAACAGGTTTATGTTACACAGCTATATCCATTCGAAATAAGTTGCAAAGTGAACAGTTTGCAGGGAAGTTAATCAAGACGTGCTTTGCATCTGCTATACGGAAACTTACGACTTTTTGGCGGCAGGACTGTCGGACGGGACCTTAAGGTTCTACAAAGTTAGCTCAGGGGAGAACACGCTGGTGCTGAGCGACGCGGAGATGATGCAGATTCCGGCTCCGGTGACTGCTGTAAAGCATCGACCTGTGCACAGATCACACCCGATTACTCGTACCGTGATAGCGACTTGTTAGTACTTTACATCTTTCACTTCTCTGGTTAATTATTACGTAATACGTTACATTTATTACAATTATTATATAATTACATAATAAGTTACTATTTATATTTTGAGGATGATTTAATTGTAAGTTCACCTTCGAAAATATTTTGTTAAAGCAAGAGACAGATATTAATTTATATCTAGAAACGAGATTTTCGAAAGAAAATCTTAAATATTGATCTGATATACTGTATGATACATTGAGATAGACTAATACATGGTGCAACTTTTTATCTTTTTGAAGATAGAATAATACTGCACAGAATAAATAGGCAAAACAAAATAATAAAGAAAGCTCTTCACACTATCCATTCGTGATGTTTAAAGGCGATAAAAAATATAATAATACCTTTAAATTTTATTTTATTCTTGTCTTTAATCTTTAATCATTTTATTCTTGTTTTATCGATGCTTATATCGAAGGCCTTATAAAATTATAGAAAAAGATGTTAATATTAAGAACTAATATTGAATGTAGCATAGTAATAAGCTATAGTCTTACATCGTTCAAAAATTGTTAAAAGATTGAAATTATAATCGTAAAGTTTTGAATCCGTTTATTAAAATGATATTTTTACAAGTAAACATTATTCATGCAGATGCCAACGGCTGCGTTAAATGCTGGCATTATCCAACCGCGCAATGTCTCTACACAATACGGGAGAGACGGCAAACGCTTGGTCTAGCTTACCATCCTACACTGCCGAAGTTCGTCACTGTCGGAGACGATACGAATCTATATTTGTACGACGAGGAAACAAAGACGCGGGAAAGAGTGTTTCGCGGAAGGTGATTATCCCGAAAAGAAATTGAAAAAAAAAATAAAAAATAAATATTCTCTAGTTAGTGGAAGCTTCTCTAGAGAGAAATACTGCCGTAATGAAAGTTGAGATTCTACAAACTCTATGAAGAATCCTATAATTTTCAAACGCAGTGACGCGCCTGATGTCATGGATGGTCATAAATCCAGGGTCTTCAGCGCCTGCTTCAATCCCAAATCCGCGCACGAGCTGATAAGCGCTGGCTGGGACGACACCATCCAGTTCTGGGATACCAGACAAGCTCATTCCCTTCGGTTCATATCGGGTGTACATATGTGCGCGGATGGGCTAGACATCAGTAGAAATGGGAAAGAGGTACGTTTTGAACTTGTATTTCATGCCTATATAGCTGAAGAATCGACAGATCCATGCCGGATTGAACGCCAAATATTATATGTTAATAAATCTAAGAACGCATATACCCCTATATACACTAACAATTACAGCCTAATTGCGACAGCTTTATAATTTTGTAATATCACATTTGCTTGAGGAACGCGTATACTTTTATGTAAGAATTTTTTACAGCGTTTTTAACTAACGGATTCCTCTTGAATAACAGATTCTTACTTGTGCCTGGCAGAAGAACAATCCTTTACAATTGTGGGACTACGGTAGCGGCAGATTGATTATCACTTTGGAACCGGACAGTTATTCATCTTTATTATACGTTGGAAAGTACGTAACAAATATGTATATCGCATGCGGTGGCTGCGACACTGATCTCTTCAGAATTGTCGATTTACGATCTCATTCTGTAAGTCTGACAGAATTTATTATTTAATCAGTATTAAATAACATATGGCATATATGTACATATATTAACATTTTGGAAAAATAATATCATGTCAGATATTGTTAATAACTTAATTTATAAAAAAATCTTTGTTATAAGTTTCTCTATTATAATTATAATAATCAGTTATAATTCAACAAAGACAAATGATATTTGAATTAGATATTTCAGTGCAGTTAAAGAAAAATGGACTTTGAGTTAATTAAAAAGTTTCTGAATACAATTGAGAAAATTTTGAGATCTAATTTAAATGCAAAATTGCCCGGTTTGTCCGTGTACACCCTTGCTTTATAAAATAATCATTTTTATAGGAAATCGATTGTTCTTATTTCAAGATAATCTAACAATATACGATCTTTGCTCCTACAGACTATAGCCATGATCAAATACTTCAAGGGCGGTGTATATAGTTTGGATGTCGGCCCATTAGAATCAAAGTACAGTACACGGATTCTTCCAAAGCTCGCTTTTTGCGCCGGGACAACAATTTTCGAAGTAGACGCCCAGCCTAGTTGATTGATTTGTGACATATATATCTTTGATATGCAATTTACGGAATTATTTTATGCTTTAAAGCTTGAAAAATATATATATTTACTTTGCATGTACTTTCCAAAATGTAGCTGACTTACATTTGTTAACACAACGTAACATACGTAACATACATACACGTTTGTAAATATCTGTCGATATAAGATTTTGATAAGACAATTCTTTTAATATCTATCGTTATCGTAAAAAGACGGTCCTCTAAAAAATTTTACATAGCGTGATACTATTTCACATTCTGTATAATAATGCACGTTAAGTTGACGTGCTTCAATTTTTCTCTCTTTATAACTATAAAAAAATTAGGTCAAAATATGATATCGCTGTGGTGTATATAACGTACTGTTAGAGATGAAATAAAATAACAAGAGGGAGAAAGATGATAACGAATGCTAAATAAGTCGATTATTTTCGTTGTCTCCCGTGGAGGTCTTTCCCGAAAGGAATGACACGCGCACTCAAGCAATAAACAATGTATTTTATTTAATACAAACTATAGTACAAAATTTATACAGAACAACGTACGGTTTTTATCATCATTTCTCATATGACAGCAAGTTCTCGTATCGAGCGAACGCACACACTTAAGCAAGACTTAAGAGACGAGGGGGCGGATTGGAAACGGGTCGAAGGATTGGGGAGGGGGAAGGAGGGCATGACAGGGGGTCAGGGGACAATCACTAAAACTGAGCACATCGATTTGTGACAATACAAACTTACTTGACACGAGCAAATCCATCGGTTGACAAGCGACACGGTGTAGAAAAAGATTGCTCGCGCACAAACACGGTGAGAGAGCAGAAAGCGCATCGCATATTTTTTTTTCTCTTTTTCTTTTCTTCAGTACTCGCGCCGTAGACGACACGTCCTGTTTCGTAATACTTTTGCGGCGGTGATCGGACATCCGATCCACACGTCGGATTCCGCAGGGGAATCACTGAATATCTCGTGCACTCAAGTATATACTCCGAACTCGACGATTACGCTGGGCAACATTCGAGACTTCGAAACTTCGCTTCGTGGCAACTCCCGCGCTTAAAAAGAGGGGGACGAGTCACCTCCGGCTGCGAGACATCGTAGAGAAAGAAAAAACAGATCCTCCTCCTCCTAAAATCGCATCCAATTGTACTTAATCGTATAAGTAGATAATAGTTAATCTCTAGGTGCGATCCAACTGACTATTCGGGAAACTACTACTGTTCCAGGACAACTTTCGCCCGTATCTACAATCTAAACGATCAACGACCTAATTTTGGTTTGAGAAACGTGTTTGTAATAAAATATATTTATACACGATAATTGCGACGCGCTCGCGAAGCGCCTCTTAGCAGCGGTCGCATTCGTCAGAGTACATCAGAGTATAAAATTGGTCGTCAATTTGCGCGGTGAATTGGGTTTTCCTTCATTTTTTTTTACCCGTCTAACTAAATCCCGCGACGCGGTTTACAAAATTAACGATGAGTCGGTGATATGTGTTTAAAAAAATATTGACACTTAGATACAATGTGCTCCAGGTCGATCGATGGAGAAGTTTACAGTACATGCATGCACCCGTGAGGATCAACATATCCATTCCTTGCTATTTCATCATATCCTCTCAACTCGTGGGAGTCAATAGTGGGACCTCCTGATGCACTATCATCGCTGCATCGTCAGCCGTTGAAAAGCGTTACACGATCAACCGATCTGAATTAATCGAGATAAAGACAATCTATAGTAGTAGGAGTACAAAGAGCAAGTTAACAATAATGAGTAAGAGAGGTACCTAATTCGCGAGAACAACGGTTTCGTTTCAGCCTAAACAGGCTCTCCTGGATCACAAACAGAGATGCAATCCGTATATCCTAAATGTGAGGCGGCGCAGGTCTCAAGCTCGATGAAATCTAATAAGATCTGATTCATTAAAATTGAAATTGCTGTTGCGGCATCTATCACACATTCCTGGGTAAGAGACAGTACAACGTACAACACTAAATTATTATCTTACAATTTAAGAGAAATCTAATCCAACATCTGTTACAACGTTACTACTCTCGACTGACTAATTTTGCATTAACTTTCACGCTTCATGCAAAATATGGCCGTTGACGAAAAAGATCGGGAAGAATCACTTTCGGGGTTTCGGAAACGAATTAGAAGCTCGTGAATTTCGGTACCCCCTTTTTCCGTACGCACTCACGCTTCCGAAAAAACAGTCGCTCAACAGAAAACACACTTCGCTACATCGTGTTCTCGCACACTGTACATCATTCTACATCACATTATCATCTATAAATTACTCATAGTGTGGCTTAACATTACATTATCTCGAGGTCTCGTCACATAATAACTTTTTTTTTCCCGTTACACGTTACGACAAAATCGACAAAGTCGCTTCGAAGATCGGAGATTTATCGTCTCACGCGGTAATATCGTATTCGACGAAAAAAAAAATAAGAAAAGATCAAGAAAGCGAAGCAGAAGAAAGGTCAGCGTGCGTCCGAGGCTCAGACCTTACATTCACAGCCTGACTGAGCACTCGGTTCCTTTTCTTTTTCTTTTTCCTCCTTTTTGCTCTTCGCGTTAAGTCACCCGCGCGACATATCGTATCACTTTTCCATACTTAACGCACGTTTGATTCCGAGCCCACTAACTTACGACGAAGTGACGTAGGATAACGACGCCAGCTATCCCTTCCTGAATTTACGTTGACCCCCTTCTCGACGCGCAGCCTCGTGATTGTTGCATTTCCAGCTTAAAATAATTGAACTAACGTCAAGCCAAGATACACGTTGACGAGAAGGAACATAAAGCGCCTGTTGTTGTTTCCGCGGTAAAAAGATCCGATAACGTTTACGCGAGATTATCGTCTTATAAATAATAAGATACATTATCGAAGTGACAAGATCGTTCCTCTCGACGAACAGGACGATGGTTGTACGAGCGATTGCAGCGATAATGACAAAGAGAACGAGAACGACGGAGAAAAAGGTTTCTACTCTTAGAACAACAGGCGCGACCGTCTTGGCTCCGAAAATCCAATCTTCATCGCCAACCTAAAGAGATCACACGATTTCATCGTCACGGCGACGTACTCACGTGATCGCGCGAGTACTCTCGTCCGGATTGGATGCGCCGCGCTCGCGTTTGCGCTTAAGAATCCGCGAACGAGAACGAAGGAGCGTCGCCGCCGCGTTACATAGTGTTGTAGACGGGACTGCTGTGCCTAGGCCTGACCTGCAGCCTAGCGAGGGGATGGGTCCTGCCGTGCTGCTGTTGCTTCTTACTAGCTGCCTTCGCCACCACGCTGGCCATCACCACGCTAGGTGAGGGTACCGCCGGCGGCCTGCCGGGGGCCTCGGGCGCCTCGTTGAACAACGGCGCCGGGTGATTGTTGATCATGATCGGCGCCGATCGTCTCGAGAACTCTGGCGCGATCTTCGACTTCGCCGGCGGATGCACCTCCATGGCGTCCCAATCCTTGTCTTTGTGCGCACGCAACTGCACGTCCGAGCTCTTCCTGGACTCCGGCCTGGCGACCTCGTACTTCCCTACCAACACCCTAACAGAGAGATCCTCCGCGTTGTCCTGCGACGACGGTGGCGTTGTCTCGCTCCTCCTGCCGTGCTTGCTGTCTTTGGTTTCGCCAACGCTGGACGACGACTGGATCTTGGACTCGTTGTGCGGGATCACCGGCGACGAGGGCAGACTCCTGATCTTCACGTCCCTCTTCGGCCGCGCGGTCAGCGACGCATTCTCGCCCTCGCACGCATTCTCGGGACTCCTCTCCAGCTTCGTCGACTTCGCCTCGAACTCCTTCTTCAGATTCTTGACTATACCGGACGTGCTACGCGGACATTCTGCTTCCGGCGAGTCATCTACGGAGAGACAGCGCTTGCTGAACACGGATTTGTTGCAGAGATTTTCCAAAACCATTTTGTGGTGTTTCACGGAAGGGCACTGAGTAGTATTGACGACGCACGGACTGGACGTCTCGCTTTCCGATCTGCAGGACCTCAGAGACAGCGGCAGATCGGACTCGGAGGACAAGGAGGACGGCGCGGGGGCGCTCGTGGATAGTCGTCCGATCTGGCGCATGGACATAAGGGAGATGTCGATGCTGCCTACCGGACTCGGCGAGTCCCTATTTGTTTCTACTTTAAGATTATGTTCCTGAGTGGGCGACGAGTCCCTTCTTCGCGGCGTCGGCGACGGCATGTGATGCAACAGCATCGGATTATACGTCTCGACCGCAGCCGCGTCTACCTCGGTAGCCAGCCTGTCGCTCTTATCGTCCGCGGTCGTCGAGCTCTGCGTGCACACACGCTTCACCTCGCCCGCGGTTGTGACCTCCTCAAGTTTCTGTTTAGTGCGCTTCACCGTGCCCGGATGCCACGGTATCTCCTCCTTGTCGTACGGGAACAGACCGCTGGAACCGAGCAGATCGGACGGCCGCATATCGTAAGAGCCCCAGGAACTGTTCCTCGACGGCAAGGTGGCCCACGAGCTGTGCACCGAATTGTTGTCGAGGACCACCGCACTGTCGTAACTACTCCAGGAACTCTGCCGACTCGGAGATTCTCTTGTGACAGGCTCACCCCGTCTTTCCTCGCGATCGAACACTCGGTCCACCTGGGCACTGAACGGATCGCCGTCCTTCTTCACTTTCTTTCCTAGAACATCGTGACACGTCGATGACGACGCCATCGTCGTCGTCGTCGTCGTCGTCGTGATCGACGTTGTAATCGTCGTATCCGCCGTCACACTCGCGATACACTCATTCTCCACACTCACGCTTCTGTTAGTTTTATTGTCATCACACAAATCAGCACACGTTGCATCCGCGGACGCAGTCCAGACTAGACATTCACTATTATCGTTGATCTCGGTGGACTCCTGGCTCATCTCCTTTCTCCTTTCCCTCTGTTCCTCACCGGGATCCCAAATTTCCTTCCCGGAAGGAACGCTCGAGGCGGAAGCTGCGGTATCTCGCGCTTCTTGCGACTGCTCGCAATGCGAGTGACCGTTCTCGATCGGCTTCGCATTATCCTCCGCAATCGAATTCTGAGACAGAGATCTCGCGTCCGTATCGGATCCCGGCGATGATGGTTTACTGCTGGCCGCTTCAAACTGATTGGTTAAATTGAGTACCAGACCCTTCCTCTTCTGTCCCTGAGTTTCTAACTTACTAATCCTATTCTTTACGCTAGGTGTGCCAGGGGTTGCGGCGGGTAGGTGCATTATTTTGTTCTGCGACACGCTATAAGATTGCCCATTGTCGCAGGGCATTAGAACATTGCGAGCCTCCTGTTCTATTGCCGGTTTTTGATTCGAGCCACGAAGAAGGTCCTCCCGTGTGACTTCCGTATTTCCTGCTTTATCGATACTTTCCAACGACTGCGACAAAGGAACTGAAACATTACAAGACAAGCCATGAAAATTTCCGCTGATATACTGATACTGATCAGAAATAAATTTTGTTAACTCGTTTAAATAAAAAATAAATAAATTATCGACAAAAATTAACTTCAAGTTCCTTAAAGAATTTGTTTAAAGAAACGCAACCTGATTAGGAACGTCAGGATAGTAAAGCTACTTACCGGAAGGTAACATATTCTCAGCGACTTTGACATTCGGCGACCAACTCTTTGGTCTTTGGCTAGTTTTCTTCAACTCCGAACCTGAAACCTCCCGCATATTGTTTTCTATATTATCTGATTTCTCTTCCTTTTTTGATTGATCCTTCGCGGACGTGGGAGATTTCAGATTCGTGTCAGACTTAGATCTCTGGAGCTTCTCCTTGTTCTTCATCGCGTCCAGAATACCCTGGTACGTTTCCAGTTGTAGGAGGAAGCTGTTGTTAGGTTTGATGCAATTGCGCTTTTCCTTGACGTGTTTCCACGCCTGAGAAAAATCCCAGTTATAAGCCTTCATCGCGTAAGCTATCACCACGGAGGCAGAACGGGACACTCCCATCTTGCAGTGCACCAACACCTTAGAGCCCTCCATTTTGGCCTTAGTGATATACTTGAATGTGTTATCCCAGTGCTTCAGCAAGTCCGTCTTCTCATCGTCGTATACACGTACGTTCAAATACGTGAACATGCCCGGAAAGAAGTTATCAATTTCCCGAGTGACATTCAGGATGTGCCTTACACTGAAAGTAATACAAAAATAGATTAGAACTAAATTATAAAAGTTATATTTAAATTAAATGTTAAGATATAATAACACGTTTTTCACTGTAGATACAACTTACGACATTATAATGTATACAATTTAAAGTTTTTCTCATTAAATATAAAAATTTGTCAAAATAATTATGTCTCTTATATTTATTTAAAAATTCCACAAAATTTTTGAAGAACTCGATTCCAAATCGACCGCATTACTTTTTAAGTTATGAATGAATAAATTATCGGAAATATGTCACGCCAGCTCGAGACTGAATTGGGAATAGCGAGCAATAAAATTCACCCAACGTCAGAATACGTCAGAAATATCTCGCAATGAGACCAAACGCACCCATTTTTCTGGAGTTCCTCTAAATTGCTGGCGTTCCACTCGCTCCCGAGATAAACATGATCGAATATCTCGGTTGGCGCATCCATTTGCCCCAGTATGGTGAGCATCTCTTGGTCGATGAACGGTTTGAATTCCCCGAGATCCATGTCGAGATCTTCCTCAAGGCGACCTCTAATATACTTGGAAGTAACTTCATCAAGGTCAACTGACATCATGATCTCCTTCAACGTCGATCGAATCACGCGCTCGGTCTCTTCTCTCTCCCTGGGCCTATGTTACATAAACATAATGTATTGTATCTTGCGATAAATTAATCGGATAGGTAAAATCAGTTGGATGCATCCATAAACGACTGTTTATCACTAAACGGTCGCTATATTATATTTCTCTATTAAAATAATATAAAGTATATAAAGTAAAACGAATATAATTTTCCTAAATTGTAAGTATTATTCCATCAATTTATAATTACTGTACTTATATAGATGCATCAATTTTCGTCATTATAATGTAAGATCCTAAAAGTGGCCTTATAAACGCAAACGAAAGGATCGAATTGGGACGTGGCGGAAGTTTTCGGATATATCAATCTCCCACGTGTACTCCGGGATTTCGTAACACTGGAATCTAACGATCGAAATGACCCAATACCTGAAAATGTTTAGCTCACTTCGAAAGGGAGGGCAGACGTAGAAACTGGAAATAATTGAAGGACAACTATGAAGTTATGCTCCACTTGTGCGCGCGGCCCAACGCGGCGTAGACAACCGGGAAAGACGCATCAACAAACCACCCAACCCTGGCACGGTACCAAGCTAAATTCGCGGTGGCCAGCTGTTTCTCGGGTCGGGTCTTATATACTTCGCGAATCGATTTTGCTCGAGAGGCGTGTAATTTGTATCGGGGGCATTAAAATCGAACATCCACGAGATCATCCGGCCGAGAGGTCTTCTATCTTCTTAAAAGCGCTGGCATTCTGGATGCAGCCCGTATAGTCCCAACGGAAAAATAAGACAGTACCGTGCAGTCGGACTGCATTCGGACAACCGTTTTGTCGACGGCACTTTCTACATCGCTCTCGAAAGGATCATGATAAAAGCGATCGAACTCACTTGGTGCGTACGCTGTCCGGTGACGGCGGTCTCTTGGACTCCAGATTGTCCATGGCATGCCACTCGTTGAGGCACGACCGATCGCTTTCGATCCGTTGCTCATAGTAGCTGACCCAGTCATGCGACAGTCCACCTAGAAAATAGTTTTGCTCGCGTGCCTTACCGGACACCTTGTGCAACGTCTGCAAGGCCGACCTGGAAACGAAATACAAAAGATATTAGAAAAGGATATCAGAGGAAGCGAGAATAATCGGAGAAAATTAAGATCACGTAACCAGTCGGACTGGCCAAATGCGGCATAGAAGAAATAACTTCGTATAGAAATTCTAATAATTCCGAAGAAAATTAGTTGGCGAACATTTATTACACCTAATATTTGCAACATTCTTGCTCTTTATTCATTGCGACCTCGTTTTCTCCGAAAGATTACGTTTTCCTTTTTTTTTTTGTGTTACGCCAGCGAAGTCACCGCCGCGCCGCTGCAATTTCACAGTCACTTCGTGATACTTCGCAAGCGTGAAAAAGTAAATCGATCGGCGGCGATCTTCGGAAATCGACGAAAGTTACGATCTTCTGAGAAAACAAAGAAAGTAAATATACTTTCTAAACGTCGGCGGTTTAACAAGAAATATCTTTATGTTCTGGATTTTGTCGGACAACGAGAATCGATCTCCCGCTTCCGGAGGTGTACCCTTCGGAATTACCATAACTAGTAAACTTTCCCGCTCGCCCTGATCGAAACCCATTCTGCGATCAACGCGTGGTTCCCACGGCGTAATGCTTGCTGCGTAAGGTACCGAGTAAAAAAAATATTGGCTAACGCTTGAGAATAGGGGCAACAACGTTTCGCTTTAAATCTCTTAAAACTGCGAGAAAGGGAAACGTCGTAAAAGACGAATTTAAATAAATTAGGTCTTAATATAAATTTTCAATAAGATTATTGTGTTTTTGAAAAATGACATGAGTATACGACTTTGGAAATTTTCTTAAAACATTTATGCAATTTTTATCAGCTTGTTATTTGAACCACCAATAAATTGTAGTAATTAAAGGATCGTAAGAGTACAACGCGATTGTTGATGCGTATAAATTTTCAGATTACAACTGACTTATTCTCTCAAATTTAATTAATTAATCTTATTATTTGGACTATTGCAGATTTCAGTTACGGCTTTTAAATAGACGTTAAATAAGTGGCTCGCATACATTTAGAAAATATATTTCACCGACACAGTTCACTGAACATCGTCAAAACACTCGTTAATTTGTTTTAATAAAACATATTTTTCAATATTCACAACAATGTAATAAAATACTAATATAGATTCAAAAAATATGAAAATAAATATCACAATTAACTCCGATTATATGTACATTGCAAATTAATTATAAACTTAAAATACAAAAGAGAGTAATTAATAAACTTCAATAGTTAATGACTCAATGCAGATATACTTTCGAAAAAAATATTTCTAAATACGTTTAAAAGTATAGGCATCTCATTATCTGTCCTTTAAACTTGACCGCATTCACTATCCGGTTTCCACTTCGGATTGATAAACCAGTTCATACAGTCAATCGTTTCTTCCATTTAAATGTAGAAAAGGATTTCCTAATTAACATTTTATCATGTTTATCCGATATTTCTTATAAAAATTCACATATCCGTATAAATTATATTACATAAATCAAGAAATGCGGTACTCATTTATCATTTATCATCTATAACTCATTTATCATTCATATTATACCATTTAAATTTTGAATGGATTTTTATTCCCCAATGCTTTCTCGAATGTAATAAACCAAGATTTCTAAGAACTTTCTCGCGTGATTTTTTCAATAGCGATATAGTCCTATCCTAAAAAAAAGAGAGAAAGAACAGAGATTTCGATCCGTGATACCGTCTCCCACGTTTTGCCTACACACCTAATAACAATGTTACCAAAAAAGAATGTAATCACTGGATGGACTTTCCTCCGGCGAACGTTATAACAGATTGTAGATATCATTCTCGAAGCGTCAAAAGTAAATTTATTCACCTACAAAATCGTTCATCCCAATCGCGTGTGAATAGTGCATCTCAAATGCAGTAACTTATTTCTAAAAAGACGTAGTCCAGATTTAGATTCTAAATAATCTAATAAATAGGAAATGAGTTTTCGAAAGTAACAAAAACTCCGCACGATTATTCATCAAAAAATGTGCAAATTATAAAGACGTAGCGACTAAAAATAGATCTTGCAAAAAAATTACTGACTTTGATAGCACTCCAAGGTATTTAAATATAATTTTTAGAAATTGGTAAAAATTATGGAGTGTTTCTGATAGCAAGAATTGTAATAGCCTTGTTTCTTATAACATATATATATATATATTATATATGCAAAGTTTTGTTCGGGCAGTATACAACCTGTTCTTCTATCTATAATAATCTTAAACCGGTCTTGCACACAAGGTGTATGTTCAACGTGTACGCGAACATGTGGGGACTCAGTTTCGAATTTTTCCGGAAATTAATCAACATGAGTAACGAAATCGCAAAGACCCGTTGACCTATCTAGACCTATGTCAGAATACGAATAGTATGAATGTATGCGTATTAGCTATTACACAAGAACTTTAATTACTATATACTCGAATTTCTGAATCCATGTTGCTTAATATTGTGCTCTAAAATAAAGAGAAAATGCCAATTTTAATTAATGCTATGTTGTCGCAATATTTACAAAATATTCCATGCATGCCTGTATCTCCCAACTTCTCGCATTGTTATGGAGGAACATGGAAAACAAATGCAAACAACATTTAATTTAATACGAAGATCAAACGACAGAAATAGTTTTAAATTGTTAAAATTTTTACATCACAAGCAATATTATTTTAATATAAACTTTAATATAAAATTCAATGTAAATTAATATAAATATAATATAATATAATTTAATATAACTTTAAATATAATCTGTTATGATGTAAAATTTGTTATGTTTTGCATACCGCTATTACTTATTGCAAATGTGGAATGAGATTTCAATTGTGAAGTAATTTTTTTCGTTTGACTTTTTTTATGTGCACCGTTTAAAATAAGAAAAAAAAACCTAAAGTGAGAACTGGAGTATTATCTATTAAAACCCACCCCGCCTCTAGTCTTCATCAGCAATTCTTCATTCTTATTCTTCTGCTTCTTTTTCCCACTCATTTTACAGGAATCTTTTTCAAGATCAAAATTTATGGAATTTTCCTCTTTTCTTCCGGCTTGTTGTAACACGAGAATCCACTCGACAAATAATCCTGATAACAACCGTTTCGAGAAGCAAAGAAACTTGTGAGTTGGTAAAATAATTTTTTTTTTACTTTTTTATATGCACAGTTTGTGCATATAATCGGTTAATGTAAGAAAAAAAAACACTAAAGTATTACTGAGATAAAATCCACCTCGCCTTTCGTCATCATCAACAATTTTTTAATTCACGTTCTGCTGATTATTTCACAGGAATCTCTTTAAGATCGAAGTTAATGGAATTTCCCTTTTTTTCCGGCTTGCTATAACGCGAGAAACCACCTGACAAATACTTCTGACGACGCGCGACCGTCCCGAGAAATGAAGAAACCTCGAGCGTCGTTACCATCGGCGCTCGACCATGACAGCGCCGTCACATAAGAAGAAAGCGTGATCGAAGATACCTCTCTTCACTGCGGTGAAGAACTCGACGGTGTTCTCGGCGGAATCATCGGAACGTAAGCTTACGGGACGCCGATTAGCTTGGCTTCACGCACTCGGAGGTCTTGGTGCTCCTCGCGGCGTCTTCGTGATCTTCGATCTACTCCCGCAATTGCAATTCCGGTCTTTTGTTTCTTTCAAAAAACGGGCCGCGATAACAAGGTCAATCGCGCACGCGCGTTGGATGCAGCAACGAATACATAATTTTGTTAAAAATATAATAAGATGAATTGAATCATAAATAACATTCGACGCAGATAAAATATTATACTTGTTTAAAACTCTTGCTTAAACAAATCGGTATTTTATCAATTATATAATTATGTTAACGACAGAAATCTATTTGCGACAGAAAACAATGATAGCTTTTACTTTTTCCTTAAATAATAAGACATAAAATATTCTTTTAACTTTTAGAATTGCTCATTATGATATGATTGTATTCGTAATACGAAAAATACTTATAATTATTATATAGATACCCGAACCTCTCCGAGATGATTCATTTTTAATCGAAGAAACTACAGGCATTTTTCTACTGTAATTCCTTTCCTGATATTACAAAAGGACGAAATAAAACTTCAGTTGAGAGATACTCGAGTAAGTTATGGCGAGAATTTACACTTCTAGCGGTTCTCTATGCGAGTTTCCTTCCGCGAGCGCGCAGAAGGATACGTTAAAGACTGCCGTAGAAATCAAAGCCATAAAGTTCCAAGGATTCCAACGTCCAGGAAGTCCATCGGCTCCTGATAGGCTTCGCGGGTTGCTACCAAGAAAACTGGTATAGGCTCGTCGCTGGGACCGCTAAGGACGCATAATGAACGCTAATACTCGATAGTGATTCTTGATAACAACGGGATTCAACAAGACGTTGTGTGCGTGATAACGATAACCGTCGTCCTATTTGACAGTCAGCTTGACGGACGTTAGCATCTTTCCTTATATGCTTCATTTGCTACATACTCTTCCAGGAGAGAGAATTCTTGGTGGAATGGCACGCGAAGCGTCAAACGTGATAACGTAGCGGCAGTAAATCGATTGTAAAAAATAACAGTTTTTATTTAAATTTTATAGTAATTTTTATAATAATCTTAAGATTTTTATAAAATTTAAATAAAAATGTAAACAAACATTCAAAATATTCATTAAAAATTTAATTCGAGTTTTATTACTTTGCATATAACAGACACAAGCGGATGGAAATATCAATTTTATAGATAATTCATTATTCTTAAAAAGAAAAAAAATCTTTTACATTAGTCGAAATAGCAAATTAAGCAGGATATGAAATAACAGAGAATAACGGTATATGCTGAGCTAAAACGATGACTTTTCTAAATATATGTTGGAGATATACCCAGTCATGGAGGAAGAAGCAATCGAAGAATGAAAATGTGACCTTTCACATATGCAAAATAACGGCAAGAAGAATCGTAGTGAGTACGTTGTATAAAGTATCTCCATTTTACGA